TTAAAATGTCTATGTTTTTATGTTTTTCCTCTTCTTTATCCATGGTATTCTAAGAATTTTTCTATAACATTTCAATTCAAAAGCTCCAATCTTTTTCCCCAGTGACTTAATGAAAGTCCAGGACTCGCAACACGTAGGTTGCCAAAGGAAAAATGCATGATCTCAAGATTTTTACTATAACCAATTTACTAGCAAGAACTGCCATATATAAGAAAAATAGCTAGTTACCTAATTGCCTACTACTTCAAACTTTACAGGTGAATTTAACTTTCCTCAGTCAGTTTCTGGAGCTGGTAACTTCAGCTTTTCCATCCCATGTTAAATACAACATAGAATGCGACTGGAGCTCAACGGAGAGAATGGAAACGACACGCACAAAAACAGTCGGACATTTCCACCAAAGTCTTTATCAACGGCGAACTAAATACAACACAACCTGTTCCTGGAAATGTTTTGAGGTTTTAAAGAGCGGATCAACATCATGGCACAGGCAACCAACGCCACACTTAACCATCCGGGCTGGAAAAACAACATGGCTGACTCGATTTCGTGACATAAGTTCTCCATTCTTCTTCGAACTCAAGTCTGAGTCTGAAGAAGCTCAGCATAGTGCACAGGCTCGTGGCCCAAGCGAGGATCCTGAAATACTTTATCTTGTTGAGTCCCAGAGAGTTAAGCATTACAAGCCCAAGGGGTAGTCAAATGAGACGTAAAATCGGCGCATCATGATTTCGTTTGGGCTTCTAGGCAGTAACCTATGAACGTTGATGCGTTCCCTGTGACTCAAAGAGTTGAATAGATTTTAAACTCCAAATTTTGTCCGGGAGCGCTGTTAGGCAACTCTTTTCAATTTCCAACTCCCTAGGGATTTTTTACGTGCGCAACACTGCACATGGGCGTCCGATCTCCCTGCCCAGAGACCAGGGGGAATTACCAGAGCTCTAAGTCCACATGAAAAAATCCCAGCCCTTACTGGGGATTAAACCCGAAACCTCTAGGACTCAGGCGGGCACCATGCCTAGAGACTACTCAGCCCCTTGTGACTGGAAAAATTCAGCAAACGAGACAACAGAGCTTCTAAACAACCAAGACCGCACTTCACCCCCCGGGCTGGAAAATCAACATGGCGGACTCGATTACGTGATATTCGATTATTAATATCCAGTTCACTGTCTTAATCAGCATGAGATATCACCTTTAGATAATATTGATCGTGTCCTGTGTCTTGAACTTTGCCAGAATGACAGAATTCCAAACAAGCCGCTGATCAATAGATAAACAGGATCAGATCCCATTTTGACTGAATCCTGAAGGATCGCTTAGCTCACCGGCGATTGTTTAGTCTATGAATTTTTCATTTATTTACAGCCGGTATCGCTGCAAAACAAACAAACCATCCTCACTACCACTTCCTGGTTGGAATATTTGTGACGGTGCCGCCCTCGCAAGTAGAGACATACAGTTGTTTTGTCATTCAGTCCTTCACAAAATTGTCTGGGGTTTTTACTTTCACAGTTGGTTATATAGAAGCCACAGATGTGACGTCTCGGCTGTTGGGTTAATCTGGAAGAACACGGGATTTTATCCTGTAGCAGTTCAAGGAATTTATGTATAGGATTGTTTTGTTTCCTTAAGCGATTTTCAGGTTTGATTCGTTATATAGCTTATTCCTCTTATTTTTGAAGGCATCTCCCATCCCCTTCTGTTTTAGGGCACATTCAGTATACTAACATGCACACACAGACACACATGGGCGTACACACACACATACACACACTCAGACGCGCGCGCGCGCACACGCATAATACTCAGACATACACACGCTCGCACGCGCGCGCGCACGCACACACACACACACACACACATAAACACACACTGTCACAAAAGAAATCTCGGAAGTGCAGTGTAACTTCCGGTCCTTTCATATATCTAACGGACGTTTGCCGTCAGAGGCACCAATATAAAAAAAAAAAAACATGGAACGGGAGGGGGCGGGGGGGGGGTAGGGGCTGGTCCTTTACACGTTTTTATGAGACCTTGTTAAAGTGTGTACTTATCATCATCATCATCATGTGCCCTGCCAACTGGCGTAGGCGCTTATGTATCTCCACAGATCATAAGCCCTGGTTGCCTGGAATAGCTCTCTTCGGCCTTCGTTTCAGCCCATCCGGTATTATCTCTCTTGATCTGTCTCTACCCCTTTTTCCACTGATTTTTCCAGTTGTCAAGGTGTTCTCCGGTGTCTGTCTTCTCATCATGTGGCCAAAGAACAATATTTGTCTCTTTCTTATTGTTATATATATAGATCTTCTTATAAGATCGTACTAATAATAATTTTTATTATGACGGTTGGACATAGGTTTGAATTCTCTGTACGGTCATGGGTACTCTTCTATAGGGGGGGGGGCGAAAAATAAAATCCCAATTTGCACAGTCCGTGGCGACAGCACTAGCCAAGCGGCCCTCAGAACCTCAGGGTCAAAGACTTCTCTGCCTGCAGCGCAAAAGTAGTAAGTTACAGAGAGTGTAGTGATGTCAGTTCTAGAAGTTATGATAGTAAAACCTCGTCAGTGTATATTCCAACAGACATAAAATCCAGTTCGTGCTAAACACAATTCGTACTGATAATTCCTACTAATAATAACTGGAACCAAGCCATTTTTCGTGTTAACCGAATGTTCTTTTCGAGCTATTTCGTGTTTACCCCATTTCACTGTATTATTATTTTTGTTACTTTCTGGTTTGTTGTGAGACCCATGTCTGGCACTGGTAGCGTAGAGTTGGAAATAAAGGGCTTTGTGTGAAAGTGGGAGTGGGGAAGGAGCTAACTGTTTCCAAACTCTGTTAGTTGTACCATTCCATACTCTGTTAGTTGTACCATTCCATACTTTGTTAGTTGTACCATTCCATACTCTGTTAGTTGTACCATTCCATACTTTGTTAGTTGTACCATTCCATACTCTGTTAGTTGTACCATTCCATACTCTGTTAGTTGTACCATTCCATACTTTGTTAGTTGTACCATTCCATACTCTGTTAGTTGTACCATTCCATACTCTGTTAGTTGTACCATTCCATACTCTGTTAGTTGTACCATTCCATACTCTGTTAGTTGTACCATTCCATACTTTGTTAGTTGTACCATTCCATACTCTGTTAGTTGTACCATTCCATACTTTGTTAGTTTGTACCATTCCATACTCTGTTAGTTGTACCATTCCATACTCTGTTAGTTGTACCATTCCATACTCTGTTAGTTGTACCATTCCATACTCTGTTAGTTGTACCATTCCATACTCTGTTAGTTGTACCATTCCATACTCTGTTAGTTGTACCATTCCATACTCTGTTAGTTGTACCATTCCATACTTTGTTAGTTGTACCATTCCATACTCTGTTAGTTGTACCATTCCATACTCTGTTAGTTGTACCATTCCATACTCTGTTAGTTGTACCATTCCATACTCTGTTAGTTGTACCATTCCATACTCTGTTAGTTGTACCATTCCATACTTTGTTAGTTGTACCATTCCATACTTTGTTAGTTGTACCATTCCATACTCTGTTAGTTGTACCATTCCATACTTTGTTAGTTGTACCATTCCATACTCTGTTAGTTGTACCATTCCATACTCTGTTAGTTGTACCATTCCATACTCTGTTAGTTGTACCATTCCATACTCTGTTAGTTGTACCATTCCATACTCTGTTAGTTGTACCATTCCATACTTTGTTAGTTGTACCATTCCATACTTTGTTAGTTGTACCATTCCATACTTTGTTAGTTGTACCATTCCATACTCTGTTAGTTGTACCATTCCATACTCTGTTAGTTGTACCATTCCATACTCTGTTAGTTGTACCATTCCATACTCTGTTAGTTGTACCATTCCATACTCTGTTAGTTGTACCATTCCATACTCTGTTAGTTGTACCATTCCATACTCTGTTAGTTGTACCATTCCATACTCTGTTAGTTGTACCATTTCCATACTTTGTTAGTTGTACCATTCCATACTCTGTTAGTTGTACCATTCCATACTCTGTTAGTTGTACCATTCCATACTCTGTTAGTTGTACCATTCCATACTCTGTTAGTTGTACCATTCCATACTTTGTTAGTTGTACCATTCCATACTTTGTTAGTTGTGTACCATTCCATACTTTGTTAGTTGTACCATTCCATACTCTGTTAGTTGTACCATTCCATACTCTGTTAGTTGTACCATTCCATACTCTGTTAGTTGTACCATTCCATACTCTGTTAGTTGTACCATTCCATACTCTGTTAGTTGTACCATTCCATACTCTGTTAGTTGTACCATTCCATACTCTGTTAGTTGTACCATTCCATACTCTGTTAGTTGTACCATTCCATACTCTGTTAGTTGTACCATTCCATACTTTGTTAGTTGTACCATTCCATACTCTGTTAGTTGTACCAGATGGTAATTTCTGTATCCAGTACTGACTCCCCTCTTAGGTGAATGTTGTTTGAACTCAAATGCTTGTTTAATATCTTTGCACTTTATGCTGTTCAGTCAAGATTCAGTCAAGATTCAGTCAAGATTCAGTCAAGATTCAGTCAAGATTCAGTCAAGAAGCGAAACGACAGAGGGGTTGGGGGAGGGGGATATACTGACACTAAGAAGAGAAAGAGGCGGGCAGAGAAGAGAGAGAGAGAGAGAGAGAGAGAGAGAGAGAGAGAGAGAGAGAGAGAGAGAGAGCAAGAAACAAAGAGACAAAGAAGTGAGAAAAAAAAGAAAGAATACAAAGGATTAAGAATTAGAGGAAATGTATAGGCTTAGAAACTGAAGAGTTAAAGAACAAAATGGTCTTTAGGCGACAGTCGTCTAAAGATAGACTGAAAACAGAGGAGAGACTTCAGCTAACTTTATGATATCAATGTTTCAGAAAGATGCTAAAATACAAGGACGTTCCAAGCGCGTAACACCCACAGAGATTTTAAACCTGCAGCCTTGACGTCTGCCTGCTAGTTCATGTTGACCTACGCCAGCTCGTCAAGTGACGACAACATTACATCCTCCACTGTCAACAGCACAACAGCCCCTGCTGTTAACAGCACAACAGCCACAGACTTTTGGTCGGACATCCATGTCTGCGACTTCCTGAATAATGTCACCGACAACAGAGTGACCGTGACCTGCGGCATTGACCTCTTCCTACCGCCATTTCTGTTCGTTATCGGACTCGTCAGTAACTTGCTGGTGGTGCTTGTCATGCGCAGTAAGTCCTTTCGGTCGCTATCCACTTCCTTCTACATGATCGTCAACGCGGTGGTTGACTCCTCCAGCATCCTCGTGGCCCTGCCTATTCACTACATCTTTGTCAATGTCCCTCACGCCTTTGCTGAAATACGGGACTTCCACGCGACTTGGGAATTCTGTACACTGTTGGCATGACAACGGAACGAGCTATCGCCATTAAGTACCCACTGAAAGCCTACAAGCTCTGCACCACCCGGAGAGCCAAGTTTGTGGTGGCAGGGTTGACCATATTTGAGCTGGTGAAAGTGTCACACTTGATCTTCAAGTCCCGCATCGTGACAGACACCCACAGTAGACTGTGTGACGTGGACCAAAAGGACGCCGTCTACGTCACCTTCTACCAGGACGTCTGGCCGTGGCTGCACTTCTCTATGCTCATCGTCTCGTATTTTATTGTCATGGCCGGTAACGCCCTCATCTTCATCAACATCCACCGCTCCAACCATTTGGACACCGGTTACGGCGCTGGGAGAAAAAGTCTCCGCAAAAGTTTTCACTCAGGAAGCAAGAGCAAGCAGATCTCTCTAATGCTAATGATCGACTCCTTCACCCTGGTCTTATGTACGTTTCCTTTCGCAATCATCAGCATCATCTCGTCTCAGTCTGAAGACATCTTTGACCTGCCTGGTGGCAAAAACCTGGCCTACACTGTGACCTTTTACCTACTCTATGTCAACAGATGTCTTAACTTGTTTCTGTACTGTGTCAGCGGATCAAGGTTCAGAGTCGCCCTCAAGGAGATATTTTTCACGAAAGCACGTGCACTGGCAATGGAACGCTCAGCTAGTCGCCACGAACGTTCCCTGTCTGTCTCCAGGAAGCCGGAAGAAATTAACCGTGATACTACTGCACACGAAATTAATTGTAACAACAATGAAGCAGAGTTTGACGCATCCAACATGGCAGCACCACGTGTCATAAAACAGGTTCGAAATGTAATTGTGCCGTCGTCGATTTTCATAACGTCATTATCGGCTGTGTCAGAAGCAACAAAGCGTGACAGATCCGTCAGCGAATGGAGAGAATCAGGTTCTGACTATGAAATCGTGAGCACACATTTATGACAAGGTATAGAGAAATAGTTTCATAAAAGTCACCAATTATGGGAGACTACAAGAGAAAGCAGAAAATGGCTGAAAAATATGTAGAGTGACGCCCCGCTTCCAAGCAGATACGTATGTGTCGTGGACCACGAAAGGCTAGCTGGCTGGCGTCATTTATACTGCATGTGAGGGTCGAAAAACACTGAACGCGTGAAGAATGAATTTGAAGTGAGTTAATCATAATGGATGGCTACAACACTGAAGATGTGATTGAAGATCGGAGTGGGTAGAAAAGATCATTAGCATGCAAAGTTTTCCGGGAACCTTAGGAAGTGGGGGGGGGGGGGGGGGGTAAACGATCATTTCTATACATAGTTACAAGTGGTATCTTTGTCCCTGCACAAATTATTCTCGACAGCATCCCCCACCCTCTCCTTCTCCACCACCCCCTCCCCTTTTTTTTTTCACACACAAAAAAGGAGTGGGAAAAGGGGGGGGGGGGGGGGGGACTCAAGAACCTGAAATCCAAGTAACTACCCACTTGTTACCTAAAAATGTTGTTAAGGGGGTTGAGATCATGTTAGTCTCAGAGGGCTGAGCTCCCATTCCCACCCCCGCCCCATTCCGCCCCATTCCCACCCCGCCCCATTCCGCCCCATTCCCACCCCCGCCCCATTCCGCCCCAAATGTTGTCTTGGTGGCGATGCGCCTGCAAGGCTTCATTCTAGAACTAGTCTAGTAGGTAAGTCGGTGCTTGGCTGGGGAAAAGATCGTCACGTTCAACCAACATCATCGAAGGGGGAGCTTTAGGTTATAATTGTGACTAGGTTATGTGCGCCTTACAAAATGGCTTAGCATTTTAGGCAACCAAGAGCCCTGAAAAGAATTCCTGCAGTGTTTGTGCGATCAAAGGAGGCAGGCCCAAATACTGTCCCGACTAGCGAGGAAGTCGTCTACCGGCGAGCCAATTGGTGACTCGGTCGGCTATACTCAGACCATTCTGAGATTTGAACAACGGATCAACATCATGGCACACAAGTAGTAACCTGTAAGTGCTTCGTTCTTCTTATAACTGAAATCTGTGTTCGAAAAAGCTCAGCACAGTGCACAAGCCCTGTAGCACCGGCGTGAATCCTGAAATACTTGGTATCAAAATTGTGTCCAGGCAGCGCCATTAGGCTACTCTTGTCGATTTTCAAATGTGAAGGGATTTCTTACGTGCCCAACAATGCACACGGGCGTCCAATATCACTACCCGGAGACCTGGGGGAAAGGGGGAGGGGTACTAGAAATTCAAGTCCACGTAAAAAATATCCCAGCCCTTTTGAACCCAGCACCTCTAGCACTCGAGGCGGACACCATGCACCGAGACCACGCAGCCCCCATCCAGACTGGTAAATGAAAGTAAAACAAGTGTGGACTCCACTATGTTGTTGTTCGTACATCGCGAGGGATGAAGACCACTTTCATCCAAAGTAGTAATGATCAATGATTATGAGTACGAAGGTGGCTGATTAGTCCAATAAGAGCCAGAAAAGTTCTTGAGCAGTGCGAACAACAGATGAAAGCCGCAGTAGGTGTGAGATTAGCAGTTCGATTCTTTCTAGTCTGTCTCCGTTTATCTGCCCGTGCAACCTCTGCTGCCTGGCAGGCCGATGCACCATGTTTGAGGGACGTACGCCATCCAGAACGGTCTTGTGCAGCAGCCTCCCAGACTCCACTATTGAGGCTGTTTTAAGGGAGGTAGGCACGTGTATAAATAAAAGGGTTCACATTTCTTGGTTATGTCCCATGATATAGGTACTAGCCGGCGGACAGTACTAGCTGGCGGACAGTACTAGCCATGCGGCCCCGAATCCTCAGCCTATACTGTGACAAAAATAGTAGTGATGAAACGAAGGATTGCTCTTTGTAACGACTGATCTCGTTCTTTTCACATGTGTCCAGTCTAACTTTTTTTTTTCCTAAAACATCCTCTGTTTAACTTGCTCACTGGGGTATAGCCAGAGGTTGGAACTGGAGTCGTGCGACTTAGACTTCAGTGCGACCTAAGTATCGTAACTATCGACTTACTACTCGACGTGCGTTTTTATTAGCTACTCGTCACTCGACTAGGACTTGTAGCTTCGACAACTTTGTTTTTCGCACTGTGAGTTTTGGTGATCATATAAAAATAATATTTCAATTGGAATAAACTAGTGTCAACTTTTCAGTTTTCTGCAAAATTCTTGAAAAACAAAAATGCCTTCAATATGCAATTATATACATTCAAATCAGCGATCAGAAATCAAATTATTTGGTCATGTAACAAGATTGGCATGAGACAGGGCACCACAGAGAGCATTGTTATACAGATACAGCAGGAACAGGGCCAGAGGTTGACCACGCAGAAGATGGGCCGCATAAATATCAGAGACACTGAAAAGTACTTTATACGAAACAAATAAAGGGCCCGTTCCAGAGATCTCTCCTTGCCCTGAGGCCATGAGGCATTCCAGAAGTAGAACAAAAGAAGAAGAAGTTCGGCGATTTGCATTTAAAATCAAAATCGGTGCTTTATTAATATCCTACCCTAAACAGGGGAAATCCACAGGTCAGGGGATAGTCTAATATTTTGGGGGTGGTAGATAGGGTGCACTCTTTAGTGGGTCGCAGATCGGTTAGGGTTAGGGCCAGTTCTAGATGTTTTGGGGTTGTTAAAATCATCAGAAAGCCGAGAAACCCAGTCTTACCACGTCAGCTGGGGTAGGATATTAATAAAGTACCCCAAAATCAAACAATAGTTGGCTACCGTTTTGGTATTATAACAGATTGACTAGCTTAGTGCATAAGTAATGAATGGTTCCGTGCACGACTTGTATTCATGGAGTCACTTGATACGGGACTCGACTTGGAAACGATCTTGGTGACTTGACAAGTGACTTTGGACTTGGTGGAAATGACCTAGGACTCGATTTAACTTGAACGAAGAAATGAATGAATAAATGAATCCATACATTGACTTCGCTGCACTTGTGATATTCCCAAATGTACTCCGTCTGATTCCTCTATAGCCAACGAAAATTCGACTTGAAGTCGTCAGTTGCAAGGGTAATGACTTTGTCCAGTCTCTGGTTAGATCACACGACACACACACACACACACACACACACACACACACACACACACACACACACACACATCGTGACAGTAACTGACTTAGAAAGCATATTGAGGAATGTCTTCTTCTTCTTCTTCGCGTTCACCAGCTGTACACTCTGGCGGAAAGTTCTGGTTGTTCGTCCACACCTGGACTGCAGTCCTGCTCCAGAACCTGGGTGTTGCGTGTGCATCAGTTTTACAGATCTGATTCACTTGAATGCAGACTGTTGGTTCCTTGCCTCTCAGGCAGATGCACTCCGACTTCAAAGGAAGCTACCAATTAGTCGACTCTTACGACATGCTTTTTGGTAGGCAGTGGGTCTATTCTTGTTCCCCCCCCCCCCACAATAGGGCCCCGGATCCCACACGGGGAATTGAGGAATGTGATTGCAGGCAATCTTCGGGCAGAGTGGCACGAGTGGAGAGTATTGTCTAGATCTTTTCTCTGGTGCACGCCGGTGTGTTGGAAAATGAACAGGTGGGTGGACTGGCTGGCTGTGCACAACTTGGTTGAATATTGATGCACGATAATGCAGGCGTGGTTAGTGCCTTGTGGGAAAACGTGTACAATTCAGAGGTGAATATGGATCACCACAGTCTGGCGAGAGTTATGCTCCGGGGAGTGACGAAGGGGTCTGAGATATACTTGACGCTCAGAGAAAAGGCAAGGCGGACGTATGATCAGGATGCTACTGGCACCATTAGTACTGAAACTCAATGTTGGCTGCTGAAGATGGGCATAAAGCGGTTATGGGAAATGCCCCGACTGTTGTGTTGTTTCTTGAATCAACTCAACTTAACTCAGCATCTGGGTATTATGTCTTAGTGCTGTCTTCGTGCAGTGATCTCTAACCTTGGGGGCACGCGCCCCCCCCCCCACCCTCAACCAAAAGGATAGAGGTTCAGGGGGTTGGTGGGCAGGGGATTGGGGAGAGGGGGGGGGGGGTAAGGAGGTCAAGCAATTTTGAAAATGAGTACATTTGCACTAGTAGCCTATCTTGGTAGATTTGTTTTCAGTTAAATTATCAATAAAATATGTTTTAAACTATTAATAAAATTAAAGGCCCCTGACTTTTTTGTTTTCATAAGCAGTTTGAACATCTAATGTTAACAAATTAATTAAAATGATAACACGTGTTTGAACATCTAATGTTAACAAATTAATTAATATGATAACACGTGCATTTAATTATAGATTAAGTACACATTCCTCATATTTTTGTATAACATTTTTTTTTATCCTGAGGAGAGGGGTCTGTTGGGTGGGTCAAACACTCAAGGTTAGGGGGGGGGGGCCACCGGACAAAGGTTAAAGGTCGCGGGTGTAGTGTGCTAAGGCATTAGTGTTTATACTGGTTATATTATCGCTGGGACAGAGCTGCTGGGACCAGTTCCCTTCTCACAGAGGTCAAACATCGAGAGCAGGTTTTTAAACAGATCACAAGTATACCGACTTTAGCAGACGGACAATAGTCAAACAGACGACACGCAGAGAGACAATAACCAATCAGACAAGAGGCAGTGAGACAACAATCAATCAGGAAAGGGGCAGAGAGACAATATCTAATCAGACACGGGGCAGAGAGACAATAAACAATCAGACAAGGGGCAGAGAGACAATATCTAATCAGACAAGGGGCAGAGAGACAACAATCAGACAAGGGGCAGAGAGACAATAAACAATCAGACACGGGGCAGAGAGACAATAAACAATCAGACACGGGGCAGAGAGACAATAAACAATCAGACAAGGGGCAGAGAGACAACAATCAGACAAGGGCAGAGAGACAATAATTAATCAGACAGAGAGATGGGGACAAGAATCAATCAGACAAGGGGCAGAGAAACAAGAATCAATCAGACAAGGGGCAGAGAAACAATAATCAATCAGACAAGGGGCAGAGAGACAATAATCAATCAAGAAAGGGGCAGAGAGACAACGACTAATCAGACAGGGGGCAGAGATACAATCACCAGTCAGGCAATCAGCATAAGGACAACAACCCAACAGACGATCAACAGTCACTCAAGCAATGACTGACAATTGCAGACACAAAATAATGCACACATTTTTTTTTCTTGGATCAGTCGGTATTGTATGAAGCATTCGAACAGCACCATATACACAACCTTTACTTCCGAAACTATTTCCTTGTAGTCATATAGAATGGGGTCAACCGAAATTAATAATAATATTTGCAAATCCCAATGATAATCTACATGACTCTTGAGCTAGATTTACCCTGTAGCCAAGTGTTGGAAATGGCAATAGCCATGGACCAGAAGCCCAATCGCCGTCTCAGAAAGAAAATTAATACAGTACAACTGGCAATAAACCGCAGGCCACCAGCAAGATCTCTGTGGGCTGGACTCGGCCCGCGGGCTGCCAGTTGAATAGCCCAGCTATAAAATATCCAGGCCCTTGATGTGGTCCGATTCCTCTGCGCTGTCTGTCCCAGGCCCACCCCATTTGCCCCAAATTGTGCCTGGTTGCCCCGAGTTTAGCGATCCTGGCAACGCTGCAGTACCACTCAAGTGGCTTGTATTTGTGCCGTCTGATGAAATACTAACACTCGGGGAGAAATAGAACATCGACCAAACACGGCAACTCCTCGGCCGCCCAAACACTCCAGGGAGATGGCGACGGGGACACAGAAAGCTTATTCCAATTCCATTTTCTTCCATTTATTGTGTGGAGTGTGTGGTTGCGATTCGTGTCTGTCCGTGGGGGCATAGACTGTTGCAGTGATACGTTTATGAAATATGTGTGATGTGTGTGGCTGTGATTACATACCTAAAGTCTGTCTATGTGAATAGAGTCAGTAATGGGGGTACGTTTGTGAAGTATGTGTGATAGAGTACGTGGCTGTGATTATATTCGTGCAGTTTGCCTATTTGTTTAGAGTTAATGGTGGGGATGCGTTTGTGAAGTCTGTCTACGTGTACATAGTCTGTGGCTGCGATATGCTTGTGAAGCGTGTCTGTGAAGATAGAATCTGTATTTGATAAGTGGATGGTGTTTGTGGTAGTTCTGCAAATCAAAGGATGGGACAGAATATTGACACTGACTTTCTGTTGTTTTCACTTTATTGTTTTGTTCATTTTAAATGTGTTTGCAAAGTAGTGAGGGGGGGGGGGGGGGAGGTGCGTGGTCTCGGTGTATGGTGTTCTGCCTCGAGTGCTAGAGGTTCCGGTTTCAAGCCCCGGTAAGGGCTGGGATTTTTTTCCACGGGACTGGGAACTTCTAGTAATTCACCTGGCTC